CTTGAAGTCATTCTGTGATGGCAGCTTATCAGTAAAAAATTTTGGGTCGCAAATGAAATGCTCCCTTAACATTGACTAAATGGCAGTAAACACACTTTGATTTATTTTTTGAGACAAGTAGTACAGGATTTTATTACAGGATTCTAATGTGTATGAAGGATCACATGAATTATGGAAGGCATTATTTCTTTTTTTTTCTTTTTTCTTTTTCTTTTTTTTGAGACAGAGTCTCTCTCTGTTGCCCAGGTTGAAGTAAGCATGATCTCGGCTCACTGCAACCTCTGCCTCCCGGGTTAAAGCAATTCTCGTGCCTCAGCCTTCTGAGTAACAGAGATTACATGCATGTGCCACCACGCCCGGCTTTTGTATTTTTAGTATAGATGGGATTTTGCCATGTTGGCCAGGCTAGTTTCAAACTCCTGACCTCGGGTGATCCACCTGTCTCAGCCCCTCAGAGTGCTGGGATTACAGGCATGCGCCACCGTGCCAGGCCAGACGGTATTATTTCTTTTCACCTTATCCTGTGCTCTGTCCCCATTCCATGAGAAATATTCCCACGCTTAGTCTGCCTCATGGCTGCGTTTCTACTACCACAGGTCTTTACGTCAGTATGGAGTTCGCTGTGTTCTCAGGCATTTCCTCTGAGACACTATAACAGGAATGAGGGGAAAAGATCACTAAGGTCATAAAAACTGAAGGTACTTGATGGTTTAAAACATAGGCATTTTGCATCCCATTCAAAGGTGTCATTCACTGACATAAAATTTTTCATTATTTATCTTCAGAAAGGCAAAAGAAATCAACACTAAATTTTCTTGTTGGATAATAGATGAACAGTGGTTGATTTCATCAAATGTCCTTTTTCAAAGACAATACATTTAAATGCAAATTTTACTGGCAATTTCAGCAAATCGTCCCTTCGTACACAGAGCTAATTCTGAATAACAAGTTGGTAATCCAGGCTGACTCTGTTCTGTCTTGGTGTCACGCGTGCTGAGGACCCTAGTTCACATAAGAGGTGATGTCAATTGCCTATTAGGCGAATTAGGGTCCTCAGAACGTGTGACACCAAGGGTCAGCAAACATTTTCTGTTACTTTCTAACCTAAGTCACAATAATGACCGAAGAGAGATGCCCAAAAAGCTGGCAGGCCTGGGGCCTGTTGGAATGCAGGGTTACCAACTGGTGACCTTAGGACAAAATTCAGCTGATCCCAGTCCTCCAAGAAAGGTAAAGGCCTTTAGACAGCAGTCATTATGTCTCTCTGAGGGCATTTGAGTTTCATGCCTCTTGGTGTTTTAAGGACACTGCTGAAGACATTCATTAACGATGTCTCTTAGGTCACATGTGTCAATACAAATTGATCGACTTACCACCTATGCAACTTACGACCATTCGACTTTACGACCACTATTGCTAGCCACGACTGCTCCGTGTCTGGCAGCGCAAACGTTGCCCAGCTGGGCATACAACAGTGCAGACCAGCTTCCAGCAGCACTACCATCTCCACGTACACCATTTCAACTGTGCATATAGCCTACTCAACTTACGACCAAATCGTGTTACGACCGGTCTGCAGGCCCGACCATGGTCGTAAGTCGAGCACTAGATGTACAGCCAACTGCAGGTGTCTTTACTGCAAGAGTCTCCAATACGTTCATCAGATTTTACTACTATGTCTTACAGACACCTCATTCACAGTCTGCATTCATGCAATATGGTTTGTTTCACTTTTTAAGTTTTATCACAAACATTTTAACATGCATCAAATCAAGAGTCAGCAATAATTCATAATCTCCGAGTTCAAATTTCTTCATCCAATTTTTCAGCCCTAAAGCAATCTAGCCATGGACAGTTGATGCATACCTTGATTCAGGGCATTCAACCTTAAGAATAGGTCTGAACAGGCCAGCTTTGGGTCAACAAACACGTTTTCCAAGATTTTATTCTTTTTTTTTTTTTCTTATCTTTCTTACACTCCACAAAGACAAATAATGAATAAATCTCAGTTCAAAAATTCTGTTCAACATCTCCTTCTGATTCTACCAGAAAATATGTAGTAGGGAAAGATTCCAAAGTACATTTCCATTTTAATTCAATTTTTCTAAGAAATACATATGCAAACTAGTATTTTTTTTATTGTGGAGTTTTTTATTTTCCTAACTCAAAGAACAAACTGAGAAATATCATGAACAAAACCATTTGAAAGAAGGGTTCTTGGTGAGTAATTGCAGTAGTCACTGGCAAAAGCAGAGTTTCCTATGGCTTTAATATAAGCAATAACTCATGGAGTTTTAACACTGGTAGATTTTCCCCTATCCCTGCAGACATCTGTACATTCTAGTAAATCATACTAGATTGAAAAAAAAAAAAAAATTCACATAGGTGTGTATCTTTTTAAAACCGAAAAAAAAGCTGTAAACATTCTTAATTAACATATCTTTATAGATAAAATCATTGTACATGTAGTAAGCAAATAAAAAATATCATATACATTAACTTACTTAAGACTCTAAAATCTCTCAGCCAATTCAACTGTACTCGTGGACATTTGAAATTGCATTGTTTGGTGATGTTGTGTGAGACAAGTAATTTGTTTTCTTTAGTTTTGCCGTCCCTTTTTTGCCAAAAGAAGTTTTTTCCCATCTAAAGGATAGGACTTTACCTAATTTTCTCTTATTTCATGTCACCTTTCAAGGTGATTCTGAAGATGGTCATCAGACAGATCCTTAGCATTTTACAGTGTATAGTTTGATGTGTTCTTCTTCGTCTTGGCCCTAGCTAAGACCTCTCTCTCTTTTTTAACGGTAAACAATCTGTTGATTTCCCCCTCAAATGTCCATGATTTGTTTTAAACTTGTTGCAAGAACGACAATTTCATAGAATTATTGCTCAGAGTAATTTATTTTTCCTTTTTTGCATTATAAACATCAAGATGTCTACTCATTCTAATCTTCACAATAATATGATTAATATTTTCAATGAGCTTGGAGGTGTATCTTATGTCTTGCTGTTTCAATGTTTGTGGTGTCCAAGGCAATGGGTCATTCTCCTGCTGTGAGTACACTGTGAGAGAATCAGCAACCACTCCAGGTATCTCTCTTTTCCAAAAAAAGTTAGTTTCAGGGGTACATGTACAAATTTGTTAAGGGTATATTGTGTAGGGCTGGTGTTTGGGCTTCTATTAAACCCATCACTTAAATAGTGAAGACAATACCCAAAAGGTAGATTTTCAACTCTTTTCTCTCTCCCGCCGCCCCTTTTTTGGAGTCCCCATGTCTACCGTTTCCATGTTTATCTCCATATGTTCCCATTGCTTAGCTCCCATTTGTAAATGAGAACATGTGGTATTTGATTTTCTGCTTTTGCGTTAATTAACGCCATGAGACAATGGCTTCCAGCTCCAACCATGTTGCTGTGAAGGATGTGGTTTTATTCTTTTTATGGCTGCACAGTATTCCATCTGCACCATGTATCTCACTTGGGCTGATTCAGATGCCTGTGGCATTTTTTGGTATCGATACTGTACTTTAAGCTTGCAGTGTTTATCTGCCAAGCCTGTTATCATTTGAAAGTATATTTTAAAAAATTGTTTTACCTTAAAGATACCAAGTGGAGAATAACATGAAAATCATAGGCCTTAAAATTTTTAGTGTTTGTGAGTTATCAAGGATCATCCTCTGTTAAGAAACAAAGCTTAACATAGTCAATATATATTTTGTTAATCAGTTATGAGATTGACCTGGTTTGTGGCATCTAATGTTGTTTTCTAAAACTAAAAAGGCCTTAACATTAAAACACTCATTTAATTACCAATTTATGATCCTCCACTCACTCTCTAAGAAATCAGAAGTACTAACATTTCCACTTGGGCATCAGTTGAACACACGAGTCACCAGCTTTTCAAATCCTCCTTTACATATAACCTTTTCATGTTCCCAGTGTTTATAAGAAAACAAAGATTTACATTGTCTGGAACTAAGAAGTGGGAATTTTGCAGAAACACCTTTGATGGACTATTTTAAAATTTTATACACTTAAAAAGCTGTCTCCCCATAGCTGTCGTAAAATGTTGGAAAGTCGTACCACATTAAGCCTGTGTTTGGCATGTGCTCTAGCCTATAGGCAGATACCTTCAGAGAATGTGTTCCCCTCATTGTGAGAATGAACATTAGGGGAGAATGCAATCTTTAGAATCAAGGTAAGAAAAGTTTCAATCCTGGGTATGACCCTTTCTTGTTATGTGATGTAGGCAGCATACTTTAGTTCTTCTCAACCTAATGTTCTTACTTTTGCTTAATGGACTAGATGAACCATCATATATAAAGCACAAAGCGATTTTCCTGAAATATAGGGAATATTTAATAAATGAAAGTAATGTATTATTGTGAAATTTTTGTATTCTGCAAGAATCCTCTTTATAATACAATGCCAACTACTCAACACATTTCTTACTGTTTATTCTTTGTATGAGCATACTGTTTGAAATTGGTCAGTCTTTGAAAATTAAATTTACTGCAAACTTTCTAAAATAACTCATTAAGTGTTAAGTAGGTATAACCATTTGGAAACTGGGTTTGAGCTAGTTGAGTTACCCATTCTAATCCTCTTAGCTTTCTTTTTCTGGTATCCCAGGAGTTTCTAAGTCATACTCATCCATTCAAAGTAACATTTACCCATTTGTGGGAAAGAAGTGTTCTCTTGCAAAAAGTATGTTGTGCAGCTTATGAAATTCCCAGTAAGAACGGCTGCCAGCTTGAGTGGATAAGGAAAACCTACCTGAAAAGGCGATTGTTTGATGTGACTGGTGCATCTTCCCTTCTAAGCGTCACATCAGACAAACGATGCTATAGCTATTCTGGGTTTTTGTTGTATCCTGTCTTAAAATGGACATAAAATGACATCTCTAATCCTTGCACGCTTTGGGTTACAGCCCTATATCTCAAAATAAAAGCCAGCAAGGAATGGCAGGAAGTCTCACCAACGTCGTCTGTCTGCAGGGATGCACTCCCGCTCTAGACTGACCAGTCCACACCTGTGGTTGATGCATTCTAAGAGGCAGCCAGTGAAAGCTGCTCATTGCCAATCATGTAGGCCCAGTCTGGGCATGCCTGGATCCTTAATGAGTTGTCAAGAGTCACAAGAGCATTTCAGAAAAAAAAATATGCGAATTTCAAGTGTTTCATGACCTTTAGTACTACAGTAACTTATTGAAATTTTTGTGGTTTTCATTGGTGAGTGGGGGAAAGTGTCGCGCGCGCGCGCGCGCGCGTGTGTGTGTGTGTGTGTGTGTGTGTGTGTGTGTGTATTATCTACATAATGAAAGGGAGTATTGTGGAGACGATTCCAAAGGGTGGGTAATGTCGATGTCATTTACATTTGGCTTTGGGATTCTGTTTGTGGCTTTTCTTTGGGCAGGCAATTTTTTTTTTAGGTGAGATTTTCTTTTAATTGTTTCCTTATTCTGAGCTGCCAGCAACTCTGGGTTGAAAGTACCATAAAAGCAAACCAATCTGCTCAAGAAAGTTTGAAGTATAATCTTCATGTAAATCACCAAATAATAATGCTGATGACAACGGTGATGATGTCCTCAACTAAGGTTTATTGATCACTCACTATGTACCTGCTGCTTTCATAAGTTCCTTCATTTTCTTGTCTATAGAATGAGGAGAACCATAGTATCTGCATCAAGGATTTGCTGTGAAAATTTAATACAGACGGAGCAATTGAAAAGACGCTGGACATGTAAAAACACATTAGCTATTATTACCACGCCTAAGCTCACTTAATCTTTATAACAGTTCTCTATGGTTGGTGCTATCACTGACACCATTTTACAGATGAGTAAACTGAAGGGCAGATGAAATAACTTCCCTAAGATCACACTAATAAGTGGCAGAGCCAGGAATAGAACCCAGGTAGTCCGAGTCCTGATCAAACCTGTTCAGATTGTTTGAGTTTCTCTATTTTACTATTTTTCTTTGTTTTACTCTATTTTTCTTTATTTTACCAGCTTCATAATTCCAATAAGTTTTTAATGGCTTAGAATTATTTATATTTGCATATGATTAAAGCTGATGAGATCTATGATTAATTGACTGTGTGTTTGCTCAAGTTACTATACATCCCTGTATTTTAATCCTTAGCTGCAAAAGAAAGGAGAACTAAATGGTCTCCAAGGATCTTCCCAATACTATGAGCGTCCCATAAGCCTGTAAGGTTTATACTCTCAAGCAATTTACCTGGTTTCACTTGACCTCCAGACAAAAAGAAATTGGTTTAAATTGTACTAGAAGGATTTTTTTTTTTTGGTAAGAATGTTTTCCTGGAAATAAGGAAGTAAAAGGCTGAATAGAGAAGCTTTCAAATCTCCTTATCTAAAGCTCTGTAAGAAAAGGGTCAAGGCTACTACTTAGAATTGTCAGGAGGCTCTTACTGCCTAGAGGCTGAACACAAAGTAGGTTATAGATTTCTTGCAGCTAAATAGCTCCATTTTTCAATGATGTTAATCCACAGTAACTGTTAAGGTTTACAGGCCTAGTCAAGTAATTAGACTGAGCACCAAGCTGTGAGCTTAGTTTCAGGGAAAGGAGGCAGACATGGGTGGCACTCACATTCCCACCCACCTGAGACAAGGCAGATATATCAATGAACTCTGGGCTGCGGGAAGGAAGGACATCAGTGGCTCTGCTTTGGCCCAAGGCTGAATTGTGAAGTAGACTGGGTTTCCTTCAGGTCCGTCCAGCCATATCACAGGGTACTGGGCTCTTCCCTGCAGGAAGTCCTGTGCTCCTGAGCAGGACCTGCCCTTGCCCATTGCCTGCAGCATCCACTGCTGGTCTTTCCGTCTTTCCTTCCCTGCCAAATCCATTTCCTCAGGTCTCACACTTTGGTAGGAAAGGGCCCATGATGGCTCAGTGTGTAATGCCTTGAAGATAACATTAGTGCTTCCCTAGTCAGCATCAATACAGAAGTCAAAAGTTTAACACTAGGAGAGAATTTTAGACAAAGAGGACCTTCCTGGGTGGCAGCCCTCCTCATTACGTGAGAGAGGAGATGGCTTCTCACCCTACTTATGGGCAAGGGCAGCCTTGCCTGGAATGGGGAAAATTAGAACTCTAAAAGGAAGATCCATTTTAGAAATTCAGGAATATGAGCAACATATTTGATTAAAATTTTAGATATATTTAGTTGTTAAAATGTTTTCATAAAATGATTAAGAAACTATATTCAGCATGTGTTCCTAGTTTCCTACAAGTTATTTAAATTCATCACAGTAGTGGCAGTGACAAAATAATAGTAAGGCAAAAAGGAGTTAATACAATGAAGAATAATACGGTTTTATTTGTAGCGATTGAAATCTGGAGAAAATGTCTTATATTAAGTATGCTCATTTATATCCTAACTACGGAGATAAATATTTTTATTTAAAATAAACAATTTTCACCACATATTCATATCTTTTTTTTTTTTTGAAAAATAAACCGCCCACATGGATGCTTTCTCCTGATTATATCAGTTGGTTCTTAAGTAATATGGAAAGATGGTCTAATTAGTCTGCATTATTTCAAAGTGAAACTTTCCCTTTCACTGAAAAATTCTTCCTTTAAGCTCAGGGTGGCTTGCAATTAATTTTCAAGGACTTACTAGCTTCTTAGAACATCTGTAATCTATTTTGAGTAAAATCATAAGAGAAGTATTTTTGACATATAAATGTTTCTTCTCCAATTTTATGGTATCTACTCCCATTATGTGAAGACCTGTGGCCTTTCTTGACTGTCTACTATTTCTTAGGCATTATATTACACATCACACTGTTTAATCTTCCCAATGACATTGCAAGTTAACCATTATTGTATTTACCTTTCAGACGAAGACATTGTAACTCATGAAATAAAGTGAGTTGCCCATGATGGCATAGATTTTAATTGTTGAGAAGGATTGGAAGCAACGCATGCCTGACTTGAGTGCCCATGTCATTTTTGTTTGCAAGAAAAAGGCCCTAAAGAGTGTCTCTTACTCCTGTGCTACCAAAGGTTTTGAGACTCACACGACTATGTCTTTTCCTTAGGTGTCAAAGTAAGGACCCAACTACAGTCAATGAACTAAATATTTTCTCCTTTGGCTGTGTAATAACAGATGACACCGTTGCTCATATCTATTTTCCGGGAATGTTTTATAGTAACCATGCAAAGGTTTACAAGTGACCTTAGATGTGTCATTTAGCTGAGAGATGCTAAGACTCATTAGCAGCAGTGAAATCTGGGTGAACTGTAATTTACTAATCAAGATATAGTATATTGCCAAGCTCGTTTTTCAGCTTTTGCTTTTTATTGCTATTAATATCTGTCCTTAGCATCACCGTCATCTCTCAGCAGAGTCAAGCATTTATTGAGTCCCTAATAGTCTACAGGCATTCTAAGACCCCTTAGCTTCTGACATGAATATCTGAATAATCTAAACATTCTGGGTACACTGAATGCTGAAACCAATTCTCAGGGCAAATGTGATCCTTGAAGGTAATTTAGGATTTTTCCAGCCTTCGTAATAGCTGGATTTCTCTTGAAATACTACTGATTTTTGTATATTGATTTGGTATCTTGCAACTTGACTGATTTATCCGTACTAACAGTTTTTTCATGTTTTTTTTTGGCGGAGTCTTCAGGTTTTTCCAAATATAACATCATATCATCTACAGACAAGGATAATTTGACTTCTTCCTTTCTAGTTTGGGTAGCCTTTATATCTTTCTCTTGTCTGATTACTCTATCTAGGACTTCCAGTACTATGTTGAATGACAGTGGCAACAGTGGGAATCCTTGTCATGTTCCAGGTTTTAGAGGAAAGGATTTCTTTTCAGTTTTTCTCCATTCAGTATGATTTTTATCATGAAGAGATGTTGGATTTTATCAAATGATCATATAATTTTTGTACTTCATTATATTAACATGATGTATCGCACTGATTTGTGTATGCTACCAAACTTGCATCCCAGGGATAAATCCCATTTGGTCATGGTGAATGATCTTTTTAATATATTGTTGAATTCAGTTTGCTAGTATTTTTTGGAGAATTTCTGCATCAATATCCATCAGAGATATCAGTCTGTAGTTTTCCCTATTTTTGATATGTCTTCATCTGGTTTTGGTATCAGCATGCCGGCCTCATAGAACAGAACATGTTTCCCTCCTTCTCTATTTTTCAGATAGGGCTGGTATTCATTCTTTAAATGTTTGGTAGAATTCAGCAGTAAAGCCATTATGTCCTCGGCTTTTATTTTCGGGGAGACTTTTTATTACAGCTTCAATCTCATTACTTGTTATTGATCAGTTTAGGTTTTGGATTTCTTTCTGGTTCAATTTTGGTCAGTCGTATCTGTCTAGGAATTCATCTATTTCTTCTAGATTTTCCAATTTATTGGCATATCGTTGCTCATAGTAGCCACTAATGATATTTTGAATTTCTGCAGTATCAGTTGTAATGTCTCTTTTTTCATTTCTGATTTTATTTATTTGTAGCTTCTCTCTTTATTTTCTTAGTTACTCTGGCTAAAATATTGTCAATTTTGTTTAACTTCTCAAAAAACCAACTTTTTGTTTCATTGATCTTTTGTAGTTTTTATTTCAATTTCATTTCTTCTCTGATCTTTTTCATTTTTTATTTTTCTACTAATTTTGGGTTTGGTTTACTCTTGCTCTTGTAGTTCTTTAAGATGCATCATTGTGTTGTTTATTTGAAATTTCTTTTCTTTTTCTGATGTAGGCACTGATAACTATAAACTTCTCTCTTATTACCGCTTTTGCTATATCCCATAGGTTTTTGTATGTTGTGTTTGTTTCATTAAGTTTTTAATTTCCTTCTTCATTTCTTCATTGACATACTGTTTATTCAGGAGCATATTGTATAATTTCCATGTGTTTGTATAACTTGCAAAGTTTCTCATGTTATTGATTCTTAGTCTTATTCCACCGTGGTCAGAGAAGATGCTTGATATGATTTCAAGTTTCTTGAGTGTCTTAAGACTTGTTTTGTGACCTAAGATACGGTCTATCCTTGAGAATGATGCCTGTGCCGAGAAAAAGGCTGTATTCCGCAGTTGTTGGATGAAACGTTCCGTAAATATCCATTAGGTTCATTTGGTTTCTAGCACAGATGAAGTCTAATGTTTATTTGTTGATTCTTCTGTCTGGAAGATCTGTCCA